AACGGCTGTACGGTTATTATGCAGAATTTCTTCATGTCAAGGCTGGGAAGTGAAGTGAAATACTCAAAGTGATAATAATAAATAACAGAAGAGAGACTTCTTCGGTGTATGCAAGCTGGCTTTAAGTCTGACGAAAACCTTAATGCATGACGACAATCATGCATTAACCTTTGTGATTTTGTGGGGGTGATATACTGATATTGAACTGAAATCAGGCATAAAGAAACTCTGATTTCAAACGAATGCGTATAAGAGGACACAAGTAACCTGAATAAGAAAAAAAGAAGACTCTAGAAATGTGGTGACCTAAATTTGTTTTGTTATCTCATTTTTTCCAACTTGGCAGATATCAAGACGTTCACAATCAAGCATATTTCATGGTATTGGCTGCGACTCGTTGGCTTGGAATAAGATTAGATCTCCTATCTGCCATCTTGATCGGCGCTGTTGCCTTAGCTGCTGCTCTATTTTGCCATGACAACGGTAAGCGAGATCCTAACAAATCGTGGGTTCTCCTTTGCTCAATATAATTACAGAAATTACTCGTTTTGTATCAAGAAATATTTGGTGTGTTTCTTTGGTAACAACTATATTTGCTTTTCCCATGGGTAGTTATTTTTGTTAAAAAGGGGCCATTTGTCGCGTTAAAAGAATGTCTTTTGTCTCCATTCTTAATCCAGATTTCGCAAAGTTATGCCATCTGCGGACACAGCTTCTTCCTCTTAATGGGGAAACTAGGCTCTTTCAGTCGAACCTATGGCATTCTCAGGAAGACTCCTGAATGGAAAGAATGACCATGAGAGCGGGGATTTCATGCTCTTTTATAAAAAACAAAGTGACTCCATTACGCGTTCGCAACCGCACTTATCTCCCCAAAATCAACCGAGTGTTTGAGTTCAACCAGTGCTTATGATTCACTGCACTTGTGCACATGATTTATAACGCATCAGAAAGATATTTTTATGGAAAGGTCTAACTGGGGTGCTATATTCTTAATTTTCAGCTCTTGTTGGTCTTGCATTCGTGTACGTCTTTGAAACCTCTCACTTCACCCAGGTATCAGTTCAACAGTCCTGTGAAGTCGAGAATTTGATGACATCTGTAGAGAGAGTAATGGCAATCACCAAACTTGAACCTGAAATGGGATACGATACACCAACAGAAAAACCAAAACAATGGCCATCAAATGGAGACATCAAATTTACCGAGTTATCTCTCACATACTATCCTGAGGGACCGGCGGCACTCAAGAAAATTATTATGTACATCGAAGGACATTCCAAGGTTGGAGTTGTCGGTAGAACCGGATCCGGGAAATCAAGCATAGTATCTGCTCTTCTGCGCATGCCTGAAGCTGAAGGGTCAATCACTGTGGACGGAGTGGAGCTTACCAGTTTAAATCTACAAGACTCTAGGAGTTGTATCTCTGTGCTTAGTCAAAATCCTGTTGTGTTCAGTGGATCCCTTAGAATGAACCTCGATCCACTGGAAGAACATAGCGATGTTGATCTGTGGGACGCATTAGAAACTGTGCAATTGAAAACACTCGTGGAGAACTTCCAGGGAAAATTGGATCATACAATGACAAACAAAGGAGCGAATCTGAGCGTAGGAGAGAAGCAGTTAGTTTGTTTAGCTCGTGTTTTACTACAAGGGAGTAAAATTGTGGTCCTTGATGAACCCACTGCTCATGTTGACCCCAAAACAGAACAAATCATACACCAAACAATCCACGAAAAACTCAAAAACTCAACTGTAATCACCATCGCCCATCGGCTGAAAACCATTGAAGAATGTGACAAGATTGTACAGTTAAACGACGGACAATTAGTAGTAGAGTCATGTTATGTTTGAAGTAGGTAGGTTGCGTACAAGAGAAAGCAAGCGCCGTCATTTCCATATTCGTTTCCGCCATTCGTACAAATTAAACATAGCTCTTTTTCCAATATTTGTAAATAATATGATAGTTAGGTTATTTAATTTGATTTTTTGTATTGATTTTTACATCGACAGGAGTGCGATGTATAACTGCCCCTATAAGTCATGTAACCGACAAAGCAGCTGTGCTGTTCTAAAGAGCGAAACGAAATCTCTAAGTTGCGCTTGATTCCCCAGTCCATATAAGAGGGAAAGTGGCCATGGCAAGAAACTAAGTTTCTGGAGATAGTTTATCTGAATTGAGCAAGAAAACTTTGACCTTAGATATTTTTCAATTCAGATGTATTTCTTCTTTTGACTGACATCAAGATCAAAACAGTTTTTTTTTTAATAAAGAATGAACCAAAAAACGGTCGGTAACTTGAAAACGTTTCAGTTTCCTCTAGTCTTCCAATGATCGAAACACAAGCGTTTTGACCAATACGAGCGCGCTCAGCGCTACACTCATTTCTTAATCACAAAACTTTTCGTATTATTGACTTCCTTTATTGCCTTCTATCGTACAATACAAACCAAACTAAACCCAAAGAGGTGTCCCAGCACCCAGTACAATGAAATTCATTTTCATATATCGTTTAATATCCATATGTACAATATTCTATTCATTAGAAGCTATAATTTTCTAATTTCATCCCTGACACTGACCTATCTACATTTCTTTTGATATCCTGTACCAAATATAAACTAATAAAACATCTGTGCTTGACAGGCTAAACTAGAAAATTCATTCATGATTGACGTGTTTACTCGGATGCTTAGTCTCGATTACAAACGGGCTGTTGTACCGATATAAACACTGACATCCCTTGCACATTATATTTATGAGTATCATAGCACTATGGCAAGATAAATGGCTGTCTTTCATAAATTAAAATCCTTGCTCAATGCTTCAAGGATCTAAAATTAACGGCACCAGCGTTCAAGCGAGGAAACATAGCATTTCCATTAGCAGTAATCTTACTTGCGGTCAAGAGATTTCGGTGTTAAAGTGTTTTGCTCACTAAGCAATCAATTGTTACATCATAAACAGCCGAAATAACATTAGTACCGATAAGAACTACCCTTGCAAGCTTTAATGTCTAACAAAAATGTTAAAAAGATCTCTGTATCTTTGCTAATTAAGCATTTCATTTTTATTTAGATGTTTAGGTCTGTCTAGCAAGCATGATATCTTTCCCACCAGTTCTAAGAACAAGAGAACCAGTCTGCAGTTCGCTCCAAGAAGGTGCTATATCAGGCAGGCGCTCCTATTCTTAAGGCTGAACTTCTTGTTAAAATGGAGAACAGCCTGAATTCAAGTAAAATGAAAACTTGCCAGATCCAAGTCCAAATTGCTTTCCTACTGTCCTCATTAATGTGAAAAGGGTTACTGATGACAGTAATGTAAAAATTGGCTTGTCAATTTGCTCTGATCCCTATCACACTTAATTATATCTCCAAGTAAATACGTGCGCTATGATTGATAAATTAAACGGGCCGATTTCGCTGTATGGTGCGCTAAGTTGAAAACTTTGTATTCAAATCTTACTAAACTCGTTTTTCTCGGTCCGTACCGAACCTTGTTTTTTCCGCTCAGATTTATGGCCCGCGCACTTCGCGCTTGGGTAATAAATCTGAGAGAATAAAACTCGGTCTGCACTTACAGTATGGACTTCGAACTCGATTAGTAAGGGGTAGTGATTCATTTTTTCGAAAAGTAATGGAGTTCATAATTTTTATCATGAAGTAAATACATCAAAACTATTCTCTATTTACAAAAAAGCGTCCTATCCACTTACTAGTATATTCAAATCTATTGTACATCCCGTGTTAATCTAGGCTAGTATCTACATGGTAAAAGTTTATGATACATGCAAGTAAAAAATATTTCCAGCATTAAGCCATAGCCGGCCAAATAACCCTGGAAAGATAAGATGAATCTAACAGTGTTCACTCACTATTATTACCATTACTCTAAGAAAAAAACAAAAAAAAAACCAGCAAACCGGTGGAAGAAAAATTTAAAGAAAACTACTGCAACAGTTTTGTCCTGCAAACCACCCACCCCCCCCCCTCAAAAAAATAAGATAAACAATACTGACGACACAGACGCAAATAAATAACTTACTTTCCAAGCCCCTGGGAGAATGATCAGCTCTCAATTCCCCTGATTAAGTAAACAATGAATAGAAGTGAGTTTTTCTGTTGGTATCCCATACCAAATGCTTAAAAAAAATTACAGCAAGACGAAATATTGATGTATGTCCCCATAAATATCAGAAAATGGCGAAAAAAATCATAAGTTGTTGTTGTTACAACATAAAATAACTCGAGAACCAAAATAAAATTAAACATTTTCCCCAAAACATCAAAATAACATTCAGCCCTAGTTCATGTAAAGTATGACGCAGGACTCGTCGCATGTGCAAGAAAAATTTGGAAGATCGAGTTAATAACTTACGTTACATTAAACATACTCTCACAATTGTTTGCATCAATTTATACAACAAAAAGAATGTTGAAATAAGAACTTTCAAAGATTCAAACATACCTAAACACCAAGACTATACATAGAGTTTGTTTGTGTTTGATGATCAGTATACAAGTAAGATTAGTTATTGAAATAAGATAAGATCTAACATTATTTCTTCACTTGCAAGTTAAACATGGCCATGAGCATGTTGGTACCTCCGCCTGTCCAGTTCATAATCACACAAGTAACGTAAACTATGAAAAGATTTTTGTTAATGTATGTCTGCGACAAAGAGTGAGGGAACGAGGTGTTCTAGCATGGCAGGTAGTGGAATTTTCTACGCAAAAAGGAATATCCCAATGAAATTAATAGGCAGCAATTGGACGAGGTTGAGCATGGTATCATGAATTATCAATATAAAGGTTCAAGTGATCTGCCTCAGCCTTCGGCTTTGGCAGATAACACAGACACGAGGTTTGATAATTCATAATATCATGCGAAAACCAAATTTAACAATTGTTTTATCATACATTTTTTAAAAAAATTGCAAAAGGAGACATAACTCTCTGAGTTGTAAAATACATGAACAAGGTAGGTACATACTACTAGGTAGACTTTGAACTCGACGTGATAAACCAATATCTGCAGCAGATATTGGGTTATCATCTTAACTTCTCACGTTATTGTATATTGACTTAATGCTCTGAAACAATCCCAGTTTTCATAGGCTACTGTATTATAACATCAGATATAAAGTAGTATTCCTCAGGAAATGTGCATATTTGATAATTTATTTTCTGAGCCTAGCTCACAATAATTTCTCTTTAAATTTTTTATTGTGCTATGAATTTTATGGTGTAGTAATCTTTTGGTGGATCAACCAGCCCTTTTTTAATATATATTAAGAAATATCTTGTTCATAAAAGATCACTGATCTAATCTGTAGTGACTAATTACCCCCTATGTAATATAACATATCTCTGCATAATTAGAAATAGCATAATGATTAAAATCCTTTTAAATTGATCAAAGTCGACCCTTAAGAACAAATTTACAATAGGTCGCTTAAGCTGGAAGACATGAATCATCCAGTAAAAGCATTTATGATAAACCAAGTTATAAACACACAAAGCAGCCCATGTCCTGAGTTCAACTTGATTTCTGTGGCATCCTATGATACACTTCTAATCCTTGTGGATGGGACCTCATCCATATCACTTCAGGCTACTCTCAGTATTTTGTCAAGTTCATTTTCAGTTCAGCTGTGCCTACAATTTTGTTAACCCTTTACACCCTAAAATCAGTATGGATATTCTCCATACTGTTCTCTATACATTTCTTAAGGTGCTAACAAGGAGAATTTGTTTAACAATCATGGGCCTATTTGGTTGGTGATCATTTCCTTTATTCTCATGACCTTAATGTATGATTCAGAGGTGATATTGTAGGGAGAAATTAGATGCTAGTAACTCTTAGGGGTTAAAGGGTTAGCAATCCTGCTTAGGAGACGCACTGTGAAAGTTAAGACTCTTGCCTTAGAACACAACACAGTGAGACAGGCGTAAGTCTCAAATTTGCATCTAACCAGCTAGCCGACAGATTGCCAGCCCTGCCAATTATTAGGCCCTTATGTCTCCTATCCAGTACTGTAACTATTTTTTTAAAAACATTTTATAAAGGAACATTACCTTGAACATGTAAATCATGTCTAACGACAATCAAGGCATTTAACAACATTAAAGGTCAATGTACAAGGCTGCTTGTATGTTAAGTTAATGACCCCTCCTTCCATGTTAGCTCCACCCACCCTTTTTTCACTCAAGACAAGTTTAATAAATATTGCTGTGCAAAAAATTAATCAAGATTCTTCCTGAGCCATGCCACAGTTTCTGTATCTATAAAAATCCAAGCTGCCTCAGAGTTTTGTTCAAGTTGTTCGTTTCTAATTCATGCCAAACTATCAAATCCTTCAACATCCAAGTTCCCCTTTCATCTATTCTGATAACTTTGGTCAGAAAGTGAAAGAGAGATTTGATGGTTCTCTTCAGGCTAGTAGTAATTGTGCATGTTTCAACATTACATGTGACTCCAACTATTGTGCTGTAAGCACCTATTAATAAAATTATAAGTGTACAGATAAAATTAGTTACCAACCAGTGATAATTTAGAAAAGACTGCACATGGTGGTTAGTGTCGAATTGGAATTGTTGGCCTTTACTTCCTTCTGGGTATTTGGTCCATTTTTCATGTCTGATTTGTTTTGTTTCTCTTCCATAGCAGGATTGTCTACCTCTATTAAAGTATCTTCTTTAAAATTGACCTGAAAAAAAAAAAAGAAAAAAGAAAAAAAGAAAGGAGAAATGGTAAGTTTGCTTTTTCTTGGTGAATGTAGCATTAAAAGGTATTACTAAAGTGTAAGTCACAACTGCCTACATCAATTTTTATTAAAACATCAGATATTGTTGGTTCTAGTTTGGCATTTTTTCCACACCTATTCATTGAAGCTCATTGGAAATGCAAAATTTTGTGTAACTATGGCACAAAAAAACTTATTTTCCCACCTTTTCCCATTGGAAGAGAACTCCATTATTAGAGCTGTGTGGTGTGTGAGGAACATGACCATAGTAGGCAACTGGACAGTCTTTCTGTGGTATCACTACATCATCTTCTGTTTCAATGAGTTCCTCCTCTTCAGGCACAGAATCAGCCTTGGGCTGAAAAGTATGGCTCCCCATGGTAGCATGAGACATTTCCCCCTGATGGTGTCCCCCAATTGCAGTAGTGTGGCCTCCCACCATAGACATATAAGACTGGACCGCTTCTCCTCCATCTTTCTTACCAACAAGCCAGAAAGTCTTCATTCCTCCCTTTCCCTAACAGCAAGTATACAGAGAGAAGTCAGTGTCATAACTAAAATGCATCTTATTTTTCTTTTCCTGTCCTGTCCTGGCCAAGGTTTACCAACTTTCATTTTCATAACCAAGCTCAAACTTTACCATATTTTCTACCAACTCTCTGCACAGGATTCTTTGTGTACTGCTAATGTAAGCCAAGTTCATACATGTTTATGGTAAGTTCTATGTAGGTTAATGAATAAAGGGGGTAAGTTTCTATAGAAACTGTGGTTCTATAGAAACTGTGCTGCATCGTTTGGAGAGTATAACAAGGTAATTTGGTATTAACAACTGAAATAGGAGTTTGCAAAAATGAATGAGTACCTTGATATCAATACTCCCTCTTTGCTTCATGAGATAGTTAGCAGCTTGTAAACAACTGTAAGTTGTCTCACTAACATGAATTTTCATGGCCTAGACAGACAAGAAAACATTCCGAGATATTTTAGTAAATCACAGAACAGCATGCCATGAAAATGAAAAGAAAAAAGTAAAACAAGTTAGAACAGATGGACTAAACAATGAAAATTAGAAACAACTTATGATAACAAATGTATGTGAAAAACAAAAAGGAAAAAAATTAGCACATTACAATTATATCTTAATCTTGCTTTTATAAAGTGTAAGCAAGCTACCATACTTCATTCTTCATCAAGGTTCCTTCATGAAAACAAAAATTGTTTTAATAGAAGAGATATTTTAACATTACAAAAATTGCACATCTAAAATGTCACCAGTTTGACCTGAGCTGTGACTTTTAACTCAGCTTTGAATTTTGTAATTGTATGCATGCCTTCTAATCTTACTTTTCTTAAAAAAAAAAAACAATGATGTACTTAAAAAAGTAAATATGTACCAATCCTGTAGACTCCATCCTAGAAGCAGTGTTGACAGTGTCACCAAACAAACAATACCGGGGCATTTTCAAACCAACAACACCTGCTACAACCATACCAGTATGTACACCTAATATAGAATTAAGACAAGCATCAATTACTGTTTCGAATTCTTATACGGACCAAATAATTTGGCTGAAGAATCAAGACCTTAGAATAGTACTTCTCATGACACAATAACCATGAAACACAATGAATTCATACAAAAACACTCATCTTCACCCTTCACACTTGCATTTGATGTGCAAACATCATTAGGATCTGCACTAATACATGTCTGTTTATTCAGATTCAAAATATAAAATTCAGATTCAAAATATAAAAAACACACACAAATTTGAAGCAGAAGTTTGTATTCAAGAAGGATGTTAAAATTAATGGTCAAACATGGTGGTAAAGTGCTAATTGGGGGTGCAATCACATCACAGCCAATCTTCACTTGACTCAGCAATATGGCTCTGCAATTCTTTGAATTTACCTACATTTTCCCCAAAATCAATGGATCACTATTGTTGTTATTTATTGACCCTACACCTTCCCTTGTATTTGCATTGCATTTGCACTGTATTTGCATTGCATCACCTAAGTAAGTCACTCTTGTAGGTTTGACTGTTACCCCTGGTTTCAAACCATTCGCTTTATTACATGTAACCTGAGTGAAAATGTAAATGATAGTACAGTTAATTAATGAGAACTTTACTGCAAACATTTCCTTACCTATCCTTATCTTAAGGTATTCACTTGATTTTGATGGATCACCGAGTGTTGGCATGGCAGCTATCATATCCAGTGCAAGGTCTGCAACATGTTCTGCATGATACATACTCCTTTCAGGGACACCACTCACCACCATGTATGCATCACCAATTGTCTCCACCTGTAACAAAATGTTAGTTCAACCATAAGTGTGACCAGCGGCTAATTTCTCCTCAGAGTTATTCTGCTGATATCATTCACTAAGATCTAAAGAGTAGAGAAAATGATTGCCAACCCAAGAAACTTTGATTGTTAAAAATTCTCCTTGTCAAGACCAAAGGAAATATAGAGAACAGCATTGACAATGTGGATGATGATGATAAAGGTTTAACTCCAAAAGAAATCATGGACTAAGATTAGAGGGGATATAAGCAGCTCTAATGAGGCCATTTCATTGACTCTGATTTCTCCATATGGTAAGGTAAAATTAATCCTTTAAACTTTCCAAACAAAAACTAAGGGGAAAAAAGACAATACTATGCAAAGAAGATGGGAAAAGGTGAATAACATTTTTATGAAATGGGATAACAGAGAGGGAGAGAGTGAGTTATATTGAACTGTTTTAAAAGGGCAATTCCAAGACTATTTCCCTATTCTTTTAAATAAATAGAGTCACTGAATTCCTGTGAAAAGATATTTGTACATTCCTAAGTTTGATGCAGAATCAAGAAGCTTGCTGTCAGCCATAGGTTATCACTCACTTTGTAGACATTATGCTGCTCACTGATCTGGTCAAACACAGTGTACATATTGTTCAACATGGTCACCACTTCCATGGGGCTAATAAGTGAACAAATGTGTGTAAATCCAACCACATCACTGAACAGCACAGACACATCATGGAACATCTGGAAAAAAAAAAAAGACACTCACACACTCAGGATTTAAGGGATTAATTGCATAATCGTTTGATAATGCCCAGGTATTGCACATATGGAGGTACATATTGATGTTAACAGAGGGTTTCTTAAAAAAACAGCAAATGGGTGATGGCCACAGGGAAGGGATAAACACACAAGGCACACAATTTTGCCTAATAAAACCTTACTTGGGATAATTAATTGCAGTGTCCAATCAATACAGGTAAATGGCAAGGTGTTGTGAATTTGCATACCTCGCAAGTATTCAGAGCTGGTTCACCCTGCCTGAGGCGATCTGCAACTGTTCTGGGGATCATTTGATAGAGCAGTGAGTCAGTGCGCCTCTTCTCAATGTCCAGTTCCTTCATGCTCTCCTCAAGCTTTGCACTTTTGATCAATTCCTGTAAAATAAAATGATCATTAACAAATAAAAATATATTTCATGGATAGGGTAGTTGAGTTTTTAAACATTCATTGTATGTTTTCCCTTCTTTTATAGGAAGGGGGGTACTCCATATGCAGAGAAACAGGTAAGGAGAGGAAAAAATCACATCACATGTCTTGGAGCTCGTGAACTCCTCACAAGAACACTGGGATTAATATTTATCATAAATTAAATCAATTTTTCAAGAATATTAAACTTTCTGCAGGAAAGTGCGCATAAAGATTGTAAAGATTCAAGAACATTCAAGAACTATATCAATGAGATTCCTTCAGCAACAAGCTGCATGCCTTTTTAAGCAATAAAAACACTCAACAATATTGAACACACCAACTTGAGCTTCAGATTGTCTTGATAATGTACTAGTTATTGACTTATAATGATTTTGTTTTGTTATCTGACAATAACAAACTGTGGAGAGTTCAATGCTAATATACCTATGTGATCTATCAACTTAAGATGGTTAAAATTGTTTGCATACTGTATTATCATGGAGCAATATGCAGGCATCTAGCAACAAAGTGAATATATGACTGATCCACCCAGTAGGGGTACAGGAAAAAAAAAGATTTCAATTTGCATTAAACATACTCAAACTGACAGCTGCCAAAATACTCAAATTTCTGCTATGCTTCCACTTTACAGATTCTCATTGATCAGTATAACCAGCTAAGAAGGACCACTAATGAAGTTAGCAATGTATATTTACAATGCAACTGCTGCTAAAATATTATCAACAATCTGATCTATTTGCTATATATCGAACACTTGAATGTTAATTGTTTTCTCTATGTTTATTCAAATGCATCTACTGGTCATTTTGCAGGCTACACCCCACTATGTGTACACAGCATGCATTTTGAAAAATGTTGTAAAAAGGTATTCACTTATCACGCTCTCAAATACAATTTTTATGATAAAAATCATTCCCCAGATCTGTAGAAGAACTTCATAACTTCATTCTGGCATTTATACACAAATATTTAACATAGATAAATATTATCTTGTTTTCTATGAAAGCATTCCTACAAGTGCATGTAATATTATGCTACATTTGTGAAATCTTGTACACGAATACATTCAAAAAGAGAAATTCAGAAAATGCAATTTTTATTGTCTAAATTCATGGCTCAGCTGTAATAGGGTGTTAATGTTATCCACAGAGAAGGCTTAACCCTTGACACCTTAACATCAGTATGCATATTCTCCATACTATTCTCTACACATTTCCTAGGGTGCTGCCAAGGAGAATTTGTTTAACAATCAAGAGTTTCTTTAGAAGGTGATCATTTACTTTATTCCTAAGAACTTGTTTGATTCAGGGGTAATATTGTAAAGAGAAACTAGATGCTGATTGCTTTTAATATTAGGGGTCAAAGGATTACCAGTAATATTGTCTAACAAACCTGATCAAGAGCCAGCCTGAGTTCTGCTGACTGCTGTGTTCCAGCAAGCACAAGGTCTCTGCTTGAGTCGTGCATGCTCAGGTCATTGATGTACAATCCAAGGGAGCACATCACATCCAACTTTTCAATGCTGCAATTAGAGCACAAATTAGACTGCACATCTTCTAAGATCCTATGACTTTGCTAATGTATTCCTGATTTAAAAACCCCAACAAGGTGTAATATTACCAATTATAACCCAGCCATTAATTTTTGCATGACATTATTGACTACTTTATGTGCAAAATCACTGGACAGCTATCTTGCAATAATCCCCATCTTTATTTTCTAACAATTATTCTTGTAAAAAGGGGATATAAGCAGTGGAAAAAGCCAGTCAAAGAGTTTCATGATTCATCTCTCCTATTTTACATAAGAAAAAAACAAGCTTGTTTTGTAGAGTCCTGAGAGATAGTAATATCAAAAAGTTGGTTACAAATATGCATCACATAGAAAATATGCATCTTCTATCAATTCAAACCTTACTTTTTTACAAGCAGTTTTTGCATGATATAAAAATTGATAGGAGGGTTATAAAATATACAACCCCCCATCTGGCTTGCTGGTATATTGGCTGATAGCATCCCTTTCTGAGAGATTGTTCTTAAAATTTCACATTTTGCCTCAAAGCTTCACTTCTTAGCCAAATATTCATTTTTCTCTCAGCTGTGGACATCATCAGCCAACATAACAGCTGCCAAAAGGGGTTTAATAAATAAAATAAATAAGCCTATTGGTAATGACTACAAATAAATTCATAATTTACATATTGATAACAAAGCAACAAAGTGGTTTATAATTGGCTGTAGCATATATATCATAGTTTGGAGTTTGTTTGTCATCAAGTTATTCCACACCACACTGAAACCTAAAAAGTTTGATTTAGGAGAATTAGGAAAAACAAAGTTTAGTGAGAATGGACTTTCATCTAAAAAGTGACTATTTCTTGGAGAATTCATTTGCCTTACTGGGGAGTAACTCCAGATCTCTATTAAAATTTCTCACAAAAATCTAAAAATTAAGGCACTATGAGGTTCCCCTTCTAAGTGATTCCAAGGAGCTGGTGGTAATAGTTCCCTTGAGTGGTAGATTCTCTTATTAATATGTTAAAGTGCATTTAAACATCTGCCCTTTCATAAACTTTCAGCGATGAAAACCTTTAGTACCCCAGTCATGGTGCATTAAGTCATATAAGAACTACAATTATATCTGTTTCAACATTCTCTTTGCCTTAAATTAAGCTATCTTGGGATACAATTTATCTAGCTGTGGTTTCCACTTACTTAATAATTATCCATATGTGATTTACATACATGCATACATCCCTGACCATCACAAGCAAAAACTCCCATGTGTTATGAATGCCTGTGTGCAATTGATCTTCTGCGCACCTATACACTATAATGTTATGCCACTCCTTCAACAACTTCACTGGTTGCCTATCCACCAACGTATTGAGTTTAAAATCCTTTTGATCACCTTTAAAGTACTCCAGGGCTCAGCTCCTAAAAATCTCAGCCATTAAATTTCTGTTTAACTGCCACCCCGTCATGATTTACGGTGAAATAACAAGGGATTTTTTCTGAGCACCCCAAAGTGTTTCACGAAAATTACCACAAGGGAATTGATCCTTCATGGCAGCAGCGCCGCAGCTTTGAAAAATTGAAGTCTCTTCCCATGAAAATTCAGTATTTCAGGAAAATAATTTTAAACTTCATCTGTCTATGAATACCTATGACCCACAACATACACAAAAATATGGTCACCTTGCAAAGTAACACAAAAAATATATAATTCAAACTCACAGACTCCAAAATCACTTACATCGGAGTAGCAAGGTATACCATTGATTGCCAGTCTTCCATATACAGCATCTGTCCCTTAAGATGGATATAACATAATTCATTGGAGACACCTTTATCAGTTCCATTTAAAACCATTTCTCCATTTGCACCATTCTCCACAAAAGCAGCACTATTCTGTAACACAGGCTTGATGGACTGTAATTCAAATACCACATTTGTATGCAATGTAACCTGTGAATGAAAGATGTTCAAGTTCACTTCTTTTCAATCAACTGTTCCTGAATTATGGAAATAATTGCATCTTTCTTTAACACAAAAATGTAAAGAGATTTTACATGGTGACAATTTGTGGGTAACCATCAGATCTTTATGTATTCTTCATGACACCACAAATTGGAAAATATGTATAGTGATTAAAGTATTGCAGGAAAGTGTCAGAATTAATGAAGAAGCAATTATCCCACTTCAGATATACATAATTTTGGAAGGTTTGTCAGAGGAGTATATTAGTTGACAGAGTAAAAAAAATTCCAGCTGTAAAATCTTGCCTTTAAATACACTTGTACTTACTACCATAAATGAAGTCTACAACCCAAGGAAAATATCTCTCTATTTACTTCCCAATATAAAAAAAAGCCCTATAGCTCAGTTTTGCTTCAAAATTTCTCTCTATTGAAAATTTTAGCTTCATCCCTGGTGCTAAAATCAAATCATATTTGAAAATCTATTTCATTTCATATAGAAATGAGCAAAATTTCAGACTTGTCTGATTTATTGTTTGCTTTAACTATTTAGAAGTAAGTGAAAATTCAGAGGCTACACTTGAATACTAAGAGACTCTGAATTCAACTCAAACTCAAAGTCAAAATGATGTTGTTTATTTTCAACAGGGGAAAAAATTTTTCATTGCATCCAATATCACTTAGCCATTGTGTGATAGCACTTATCTACGGAAATTCACTTTATTTAATGAACACGCAGGAAGTATATACATATTAACTAAAAAGTAAAAGGAGACAAAACTATGATCTACTTCAGAGAAACATATTTTTTTAAAAGATGCAATTCTTGTTTAAAAAGAAGATTCTCTACAACAAAATTCTTCCTCACAAAAAACATATCATAACCAATTCTGGTTTTCTTTTTAAAATCTTTTCCCAATCTCATTGTTTGATATTGAAACAAAGAAGATGCAATTATAATGAAAGTGAAAATACACATGAACAAACTAATAACTTTATTAAAATTTCATCTTGACTTCTAAAAATAATTCTGTCTAGAAGCTCAAAATGCAAAGAAGTTTGAATTATTTATTTGCATGAATCAGATTGTAAGGTAATTGGTACACAATTTCTCTGACTGAACCTACACTATTTTAACATTTACTTCTCATGACAAAAAGCAGCATTTCCCCTATTCAAACTCAACCTTATATCTTGCCATTTAGAACCAAAATTATAAAAAGTTGCAGCCATTCACCTGAGTTTTCTACATGATTAGCAGCCATATTTATAATACACACTTCGACAATATTGATGTGTGAAGAAAGTTTAAGTATAGCACAAAGCCACACCAAGTTAATGAAAAAAGGAATGAATCTTTCAAACAGAACTGATTCAGTGGTTGAGTATATTAATAAAATCAGTTAACTATGCAGGGTACAATGAAAATGTTCTCAAATAGAAAAATTTAACTCCTTTTGTAAGCGAGACACAAGAGATAGCTGCACCTTAGCTTTGAAACAAATATCTCCTTTAAGGCTCACTAAAGCAACCCAAACTTCTGAGCTGAGCCACAAGTATTTGTTTAATTCTTCTTGTATCAATTTGAAACAAATGAATAATATTCACACTATATTGCAATATGTCCTTTTCATCCCTTCCAGCAAAACCAGAAAAAAATGACAGCACAAAATTGGTTTATAATGAAACAAAAATTGGAGATATTTAGAGTGTATTTGATTCTGTGATTGTTAGAGAGATTTAAGGAATTACTTGAATAATATTTTGGAAAATTTACTTTACATTTATAACATCAGCCCAAACATGAGGAGTTAAACTGCAACAGACTAGCACATTCTATCCCTAGCAGCAAGCTATATACACCTGCATCTGAAGCTGTGGACCAAGATAGCTCTATTTTTAACCGAAAAAAACACTTTGATAAATTCTCTAACCCTTTCAAAATATTCATTGCATGGAGGTCTCAAAGTAAAAAAGTAAATTATGTTTTCCAAAAAAGGGTACGGGAACAATGTTTTGCATGTAGCAACAGTTGCTAAGTTATGAGTAAAGCTTTAAAAATTTGTTTAATAAAATAAATCGACACATGTATTTTTAATTCGCCAAGGGACACTGTTACACGATTATAACTAAACCTCAAATGAGTAAAAGATTGCGTTTGCCCTTAAAAACTTACTTCAAAATAATTAATGTGGCAATTTTTAAGGGAACGAATCCCACAAATGATCAAAACCATATCATGGTCACTGAAGGACTAAAGGTTGGATGAAAAATGAAGTAAATAAAGCTACTTAAGAAAAAAAGAGATCATGGCAACCTACGTTTTCCCATGTAAAATGGACGAAAGGTCGAACGAGTGTGAACTGTGAGACAATAGTTTTTCCAGGAAGAGCGGGCAATATAGCTTCCAAGCTATTTCCAGTGCTGGAAATTGCCATGTCTCGATCAAAGACAATGTGAAATGGAAAAACCTCGTAGAAAATTTCCATCGGTATCTTCAAGCTGCCGGTGTCGCCATTGAGGGATATGACAGAGTGACGTTTAGGTCGTCGACGTGTTTCCATATAAACACTGTTGTCGAATGTGAGTTGAAACAAGGCGTAACTGCCTTCTTTGTTTTCATTGTACTCCAACACTTCGACGTCCACTTCAATGTGGTAGAAGAATTGACCGACTGCTTTTATCTGGCCAATCACGTAATACAGAAACCCTTTCCTTGAGGATCGATAATGTAACGTGAGGCCACTCTCTGTCTCATTTTCACAGAAAAACGACGGTGCTTTTAGCTTCGGGTAAGTGAACCGCAAGTACTCGTGGAGATTATCCAGACCATTTAGGAAATCTCTCATGTGCCGGCCGAGGACTTTCAAAATCCTGTCGTAACCGTACTGACCTATGAATCCGAGAAAATGAAGGCCGATTTCTTCGGTAAGTGTTTCTCTGCTTGCATTCGTTACTTCCAGAGCTGCTTGTACAAGACGTACCATGATATCCTCGGAATATACCTTGTGAGTGGCAAATGTATGATGCCGTGTTCCAGACTTCTCCACAATTTTGTTCCACACCGTTTCACCATATTTCTCTAGCAAGACACTGCGAAAATTCTCCAAAAGCAAGCCGTACATGTCAAAGGTAGCCTCCGCGCAAATTCACGGGAATATTGACAGATGGCTCTGATCAATATAGTCAAACCATGAGCGGAGCGTATTAAAAACAACCAAAAGCGTCACGCTTACCGCCGAATTAACGTGAAGCAGATGGATCTAATTGATTAGCGATGAAGAGGAAAAGTCTAAAGAAGGCCCGAGGGACCTTGACGTGTCGAACGCAAACGGCGACAGATGACGTGAAATTGGGATGCACGAAAAAATGAAAGCTTCGCGATTACAAATCGAGTCATTCTCGCAACATCAAGATGTTATGTGGAATAAATTTAAGTGTCACATAATAGTTTTCATCGATATCGGCAGAGATCACAAAGGAAATACGTAAGCCGCTACCAATTTGCGATTCGCCCCTGCACTTTTGCGCACAATAGATCTAACCAAAGCACTTGGATACGATTAACAAAGAGCCCGGAAAGAAGAACATTAATGAACGACTGCGAAGCTTACTGGTGTCAACTTGGATTGCACTGAATTCGTCGTTTAACTAATCGGCTCGCCTCCGCTTCAGAAAACTTAGTTTTCCTCGTAGCCTAACAGCGCCCGTGAGCCCAGTTTGAAGTCAGCGCGCGCACAGTTTGAGTGAAATTAAGGCGTGACATTTGATCGCGAAAGTTCAGCTTCCCGCCTTCTTTAGCGAAGTTCGCTGCACGAAGTCTGATATGGGCATAAATTATTCACGTGTCGACTCGTCAGGTATCGGTGAAAATTCCCAAAGTGATAAATTCGGAGCTGTCTCCTTAGTCTAATTTCTATCCGCCTTTCTAAAGTATTTTTAGAAAAAAACGAAATGTTTGTGACCGAGAATGTGTGACAGTAGTGAAGTGACATATTTTGCAGATCGTCCTGACGACCAACGAAATAAAGAAGAAGACAAAAATCCAGACAAAAACAAATGAAGACGTAAATGATAAGCGTGAGTCAGCTTTGGGAAACCTTTTTCTAGAATTAAAATGATTAACATTAAAATGGAGTTTTTTCTTGATGTACTTTTTACTCAGTTTTTCAATTATCTGTCTGTCGATCGATCTATCAATTTATCGTTCTGCTCATTGATCTTCACTGATTTAGTCATTCATTCGAATCCTGTCCTCTCTAAAGTGCAAGACTGATGCAAGTTTTGCTTCTTCTCGAAAACAGCAGGGACACGCCGAGGACAAAGATAGAGTTCTCCGTGTGAACAGCCAAAAGGGCTTCTTTTTTTACATGCACGTATAACTTTGATCTTTATTCACCCTTTTGTTGTATCTGTTGTCATAATCCAAAACAATGAAAGTCAAACATAAGTGAAATTAAAACAACACCGTCAGTCTAGCTAAAAATAGCCTATCGACATGCGATGTGTGTTTTATAGAACTGATTTAAAAGGTAACTACACAAAGAGAGGAAAATTAAATCACCAGGAAATAGTAATCAATCGAATGAGTTTCGATGGAACCTCAACTTGACATTGTTGAGAGATAATCAAAAGAAATCATTGAGGTATGTTTGTTACAAAAAAACTCTCTCCCTGAAAAACGAGACAAAAGCTCTGTTGGTTCTCTCAGATTCCTGGAATTATTTACCGAGACCTTCAGAGATGTCCTGACAGCTGTGTTAACGCACACGAGCACGAATATTTCAACAGCTTTGTTCGTCTCCTAAATTACTCTGTTTGTTCGGTCGAATCCACAGAAACATAGAAGGGGTTTATCAGTACTTTGTTGTCAGACATAAGGCATATTATGTGTTTAATTAAATTAAACGTAAACGAAGGCATAAAGTGAATAGGTCACGTCCAGCAGTTATAATAAGATTGGCTCTATCGGATTGATGGCAACTTGCGTGTTGCTAGCTACGGCGGCTGGTTTGACGCTCGAGCTGTCAACATAATAAATTCCCTGTTAGTGGAGGCCTCTTTTCCTCGTATGCTGGATACAAGGAAAGAGGCCTCTGCTAGTAGAGAAATAAAAAATTACACAATATCTGCTTTCACTTCACAAAATAAGTCATCCAAGAGTGATCTCTATCATGTCCGAACTTGACCACGAAACAATAAATTAGTAATCAGATACCCACATACGGCTGATATAGCGGCAAGCACGTACTGATTGTCTTATCACGAAAACTGCTTATTTTGAGTGGTTTGTATGTGCTCTCTGTTTCTGGCGAAAAAAAAGTGGAACTCTCGATCCACGTTCTATCGTGAGGCGGCCAACTCAGGCATCCAATCTGATTAACAAATGTTATTTCATCTGGTGTTACAATGCAAAGCTCTAACTTTTACAATTAAAATTTTATTAGGCCAACGAAAGAGCGATATCTAACAGAGCCGTTAGTGGACAGCAGTGAAGTTTCTTCCCACAGAATACCTTATTGCCAACCTTTTTACTTAGTCTTATAATGAATGAAACAATCGCTAGATGAGAAAAACTCCAAACGCTGTCTATGGGATTCAAGAAATAATGTAATAAAGTTTACTACAGTGAAACTGGAGGACTTAATCTGTGAAAGTCAGGCAGAATTCAGGACGTTCACCAAACCATCATCGTATTTCTCCATACCCAGAGACCACAGCCGCTTTTCCTCACTTTGAAATAAAGTAAAGTTTGTTGATCGTGATCATTTTTCATCTCACAAGCCAGATCAAAGAGGCGAGTTGCATAGAAACTCACTCATCATTATCATCATCTGTGACAATGGAATAGAAATTACGGTTGAAGGGGGCGGATATAAGAACAGAATTCTCAGGGAAGAATTCACGAGGATCGAAATGCATCGATCGTGAAAGTTGTAGAAAATCAAACTTGTCTTGTCATCAGCGGATTATTGTGCCTTAAAGAGCGACACGTAACCGAGTCAACCGCATGACCATCACCTCACGAAATTGTGACACAAATGAAAATATTTTATAATTAGTTTTATCTCTTTGCCAAATACCGTAAGGTCGAAGGTCATCATTTCTGGTTTGATATGTGCTTCAAACATTATCATGTAAGCCTTTATTATGTTGCTAATGTGAAAATGTCAAATAATTATAAAATATGGCAAAAATCACTTCTAATCCTTTGAGGGAAAATGTTTAGAAATTTGTCTCACTGTGATTTCATTATTTTCCCATATTTTAATCCCAAAATATTCTAAATACTTGTTAACAAATGATCAAATAAAAAAATAAAGCAAATAATTCATTCCACCTCAACGATCGTACCCTTGTGTAAGTTCTCAAACTTTAGAACTAACAGAAGAAAAAGAGAATTCTACTTTACGGAGCTTGGTTATTAAGACTTTGAATTCAAACTTGTTATTGTGGCTACAAATTATCATTGCGAGCAAAAAAAGCGAGTTTTCCTATACTTTAAGATACTTAATGTTTCTTTATCACACTTTCGCCTCTAGTTATAAAAAATAGTTCTAGACCTTTAGAATTTAACTTAGCTCCATAGGCTTTTTTTTAGCTTCTTCAATAAAATTTATGCTCTACTGTTTTTTGCAATTCTAAAATGTCAACATTGTTGGACGCCGATGTTGGGTCAATTCTGAATTCGTTCCATTACGACACAAAAAGTCTTTGTCCAACTAAATATTTTCAGTGAACTATTTCTCATTTTTCTCAATCATGCAACAACTTCCAGATCCTAAAAGTCGCTTCGTGAGCCTAGAAAGACCTCCTGAAGCTCCAAGAGTCTTTCAATTCCTTCAATTTAGAGCGAACTACCGCCATCAATTCGAAACACAACCATTCTCAAGTGGTAACAATCTTATCTGTACCCTCTCCTTCCACCTTTCTGAAAGCTTGTCATTCGTTCTTGCAGCAAGTCCTGTTCGCGGTTTGAAAACGACAACTCCTGCTGCAGACGTTCGATCGTTTTTAATAGTGCATCGCGCTCTTCCTGCAGCGACTGCAAAGCAGCACGAGAAACAGCCATCTGCGACATCAGACTCTGTTTCTCATTCTCCAGGCTCTCAGTACGAGAAGAAACTGAGGCTGAATCTGATAAGCTCAACTGACTGGCAGATATCGATTCCTCTCGTGTGATAGACACAGACGCTTGTTCACTCTCGCGAACGATTGATTCATTGCTCATCGGTCTGATGTGTAAGACGCCGTCGTGAGTTCGGCTGACGGAAATGTTCTCAACAGTTAAATCAACTGGAATGGGCACAGGTGCTGACACCAACGTGGGCGGAAGATCGTTGTTGATGCTCACGCGCGAGTTGTTTACTTCGACTAGGAAAGGCATTGGTGGAAGCACGACTTCGTCCTCGATCCACTCCGCCATATTCCCGAGAGTACTGACCAGGAGGGAACCGTTAACACCATTCACTTTGATGTGCATGAAACCTCGTTCAGCCGCTGTCCGCTCGTACCGCTCCGCACATGGACCAAACTCCATACGCATGCGCATCATGGGAGTTCCCTCTGACGCCGTAGGGATAGTGGTCTTTGTAAGAGACTTTCTAAAGGACTTTCGGTTGAGATATTTCTCAAAATTGATCACACCAAGTTCTTCCCATTTTAGCTCAGGGCATAAAATCTTTACAACTGTGTCATTTCCTTGGAAATGGATTCCGAGCTCCACGTCCTCTCCCTCGATGGAGAAAATCGAGACCATCTTTGGTGGATCTTTATGCTCGACTTCAACGTCCTTGCTGCTAGAACCTTTAGAAATACTGCTACCCAACTGACTACTGAAGTTACTTGCTTCGCTATCTGCCCTACTCTTAACACTCCCTGAAGCTAATTTGTCGCAAGCTGGAACTACCAGCCAGCCATCGGAGTCGGGTGCCGAAGCAGCGCTGGTTCGGCCTGAAGTGTGCGCTGAGCTGGCACGAGGTGACGGTGGGACCTCTTCGCTGGATTTAGCATCGCGACCATCAACACACACCGATCCATCCTTCCGCATAGCTTCCTCAGAATCTGGTCTTAGTGTTTTAAAATCAATGACGTCAGGAGATTGGCAGCCACTGTCCAACACAACGCCGGTGTCTAAATAGCTACTTAGACTACTTGCGTTACGACTTGTGCTTTCAGACGGCGTTCCCCCTTCACGAGAACCATCTCCGTCTGGGGCAGGAGGGAGTACGACATTTAAGTCTACACCCCGGGTAAGAATAGAAAAAAAGAGAGAAGGTTGGGCGTTTTTAGACTCATTTAATTCAGAGTCTGCGTTGTTTCGTCTTAAGCGATCTTTTTCCAAATCTTCTTGTAGCTTTGACAACTTCTCCTGCAAGCGCACAAGGAAGAGAAATTGAAAGTGGTCCAATTGTATTTTAACAGTTTGGGGAATGTGGATTAGGAAGCTCAAATCAGCTTGTGATCCTGAAGGCGGCTCCTGACAAGCACTTCCCTCTGATTCTGATAAGCCGTTCGGAGTGTCCCCAGATATAAAAGCTTTCCTAGATAACGAAGACACTTCCTCTGAGGGCGCACCAGCCAAATCAGGTTCATGATGCGTCAGAGTTTCGTAAGGTGGAGGAGGCTCACTTACAACAGGGAATGGCTTGCGAGGTTCATTTCTAGGCTCATAAGCGGGTGGAGGTCCATCTCGTGTGGTATTATCAAGGGCCTCAGAGGGATTGGAGCTAATATTAG